CTTGGAGAGATGATAGTAAATAAGAAAAAATAAAGTGTGCTGAAAAGTGTAAAGTGTGAAAAGTGTAAAACTATTGTGCAATATAGTGAAATGAAAAATTTAAAATTATACAGCAATGAATGCAGAATGGTACCGGCTACAGAGGACTACAAAACCCAGCAATAGTACATTATAGCTGGCGGTATTCTGCATTGCGCTGTATAATGTACTATTGCTGTGTTTTGTAGTTCACTATATCTGGTGGTATTCGGCATTGCACCACTGTATAATGTATTATTGCTGGGATTTGTAGTCCTCTATACAGTGCAATGCAGAATACCACCAGCTATATAGGAATACAACAAATCCCAGCAATACATTATATATACAGTGTATAATGTATTGCTGGGATTTGTATTCCTCTGTATAATATACAGCATAATGTACAATCAGCTATAGTGATGCGGGCGGGTCTGGCATCGGCGAGCGTGAGGTGGGGAGGAGGTGTGGCTCGCAGCAGGTGTGGAGCCGTGAACAGGGCCAACTAATCGGAAGCCGATTAATCGATGATTTAAAAAGTTGACAACTTTTTCAATAATCGATTTTAAATCGATTTAGTCGATTAGTTGTTGCAGCCCTATGTGGCAGCCAGGTTTTATCTGACACTGTTCTAATGTAGGACAGTAAAAAAGGATTAATGGGCACAACCTGTGCATTATCTTGCTAATATAAAACAGCTACTGTAGACCCCATAAAATACACCAAAGTGCCCAAAGAGTAAACAAGTAGCCAAACATGTATAAAACAGCCATGCAGAGTCGAAAACTGGTATCTAAATAATGAAAAAAGTAATTATTTATGAGCTGGTTAATTAGGTTACTTTTAGAAGGACCACTCTGTGTAATTAAACATATAACACATAATGCATGTATTCATTCTAAAACATTCAGTACAGAATCACTAGAACATAACATTCAATGATCCAAGCATCATTCAGGCTACAGACTGCAGTCAGTGCCTACTTCTTCAGTGAGGTATAACTGGAGTATGATTATTGTTGGTAATCTTTTCCAATCAGTACAACCGTTCAATAAATGTTTTTTTTTTCTTGCTCATAGCAATTTACAGGAACAAACACATTTCATCTGCAAAGTATCGCCCCAATAGGCGATGCTAGCTAAAACATCACCTAGGATACTGGCTTCTTTCTGCTTCCTGAAGGTGCCAGTGACGTCACTGTGTCTGACCACTGCCTCCCAGGAAAACTGGGTGCTCAAAATCCTGTGAGAATGTGCTCTTGCACTGTGTAGATAAATCCATGGGCCTTAGACTTAACTGGCATAAGTCTACTGAGACTGAGGGAAAACACCAACATGGCAAAGATCCACTGTTCCTTTTCAAAGGACTGCTCTTCATTAGGCACAGGAGCTTTTGAAGATCGGGGAGCAGGATTGCCAATAAGGTAGGCACATAGTTTAGGTGATTCATTTACTGTTAGGCATGATTAACAGTTGAAATGTATGTAAACGCCAACAATGAACTTTCTTTTTTTACTCCATTTTGCTCTATTAAACGTGTTTTGTTATATCTGTTGGAAAAGTGCCAGAAAGCCAGAGCAGCCCCATGTCCTGTGCACTTTCAAGTGTTATCCCAAGCAGTTATCAATCATACCAAATTCAGTTCTATAGACTACAGAACCCTTTTCCCACTATGCTTTTCAGATGAGGAAATTCTGCAGTCCTAACACACTTCCTTTCCAAGGGTGACAATGCTGCTGCTCCATAGAAACAGCACAGTGAGTGAGTACTGTTATATAGCAGGGCAATGAGGGAAACACACTTAAAAAAATTAATGCAGCTACCACAAATAAGGACTAGTAAGCTGCAATCTATTACATTTTTTGTTCTTACGATACGATTTATGGTATGCTTAGGGTTAAGCTGGGTTGCGGGTTTCATTTTAAGTGTTAGGTTAAGGGTTGAGTCTAAGGAGAGGAACAGGGTCAAGTGTTAAGTTTAGGTTAAAAGTTAGGCTGCGTTTTAAAGAAAATAATATAAGTTTCTAGTTTTTTTTAACCTGACGTTATTTTTTTTTACTAGAAAATATTGTTCCTAAAAATAAAAATGTAATACAAGGAGCATCCATATCAGTATGACTCTATGATGTCATACAACATATAGTTTTCTAAAGAGAAAGCAATAGTCGTATGCAATATTTCATTATTTACCAGAAACGAAATGAGCTTTGCACATAATAAATATATACAAAACCTTTCACAGTCGCTTCTAGGGTAGGATCATTTAAAGTGTTTCCAAAGCCAAAACAATTTTTAGAATGTGGAAATGTTGTGAGGTGTTAATTGCAGTGTCCCGCTAGGGAGCATCACTCCTGATTTGCCCTATCGTCAAACCAGGTGCAAGATTTTTTTTTCGGCCAATCAGGAAGCCGGGTCATTACTCGCCACTTGGCTAGCTGATTGCCCGGGAAGGTGGCTTGATGCTGGTTGGCTAGGAAGCTGGCTTCCAGCCAATCAGCCTCGAGCTTGCTGTTAGGCAGGCTCGATGCTAATTGGCTGGGAAGCCGGTTTTCCGGCCAATCAGCATCGAACCGGCCAAGCATTAAGTCTGTTTCCTAGGAAATTAGGAAGCCGGACGGCGTGTCATTAACTGCTACCCGATTGCCCGGGAAGCTGGCTCCATGCCAGCAAAAACAACAGTATCAGTACTCTGTATCGGCGAGCACCGACAGCAAAGTATCGGTACTCGATACCGAAAATCTGGTATCGGTGCATCCCTAGTAATAATCTTTTGTTGTTCTGATGGCCGATTGTTGTTCTGATGGCTGATTGGTTATTGTGGACTACATTTTGCTCACTATCATTGCTCTATACACAGGCTCACTTAAAGTTGAACTCCAGGGAAATGAAAGAACTACCCTTGAAAAGGGACTCCATCCACATAGCAATAGAATGCTTGCTTTTGCCTGGGGTACAATAAAAACCACATTAATTTACCAGAGCCACTGTTTCCTCAGTCTCCTCCTCTCCCAGCGACCAGTTCCCCAAAGGCCTCTCTTTGGCCCTACATCTGCCAGATGCACTCTAACATCATCACGTACAATATGGTACCAACAGGCCTGCATTGTAGATGCATTACCTGGAGCATTGGAGGAAGGGGAAAACACTGGCTGCTGGGGTAGCAAGGGATAAGATATGTAAATGTGCTTTTAATGGAAGCCTAGTCAAAAATTAACTGGAGCTCAGCTTTAAGTCTATACAACATATAGAATGCCAGATATAAGCTAAACATTTAGTCCACACACGGCAACTGTGTGTCAGCTGGTATCAGTCGCAGTTCAAAACATTTCTAGTAAAAAACAACTTCAAAATGACAGATTCTTTCAAATTCTAACCAATCTTGACATATTGCAAATATAATGGTAAACAAGCATTACTTCCCGGGAGCCTTAAAAGCCTGTCACCAGCAACTTTCAACACAAGAAAGCCTTTCTTCTCTATTATTTTTGCATATTAAAAAAGGCAAGGGTTATTATTACCCAACAATGGAGACACCGTGGTCTTCCAGCATTTTTGTATGCGGAAATTAGCTAAAGGCAGAATGATAGGCCAAAGCAATGCAGACTGCCTCTCAAACTGCCAACATGCTTTTATTTTGCTCTGTGGTAAATTATAAGGCACTCAAATACATAGAACACACGTATTATGTATTGCATTGACAGGTATGCGTCTGTGGATATTTTATAATGCAAAAACAGGGTACTGATCAGGGGCGTAACTAGAAATCACAGGGCCCCATAGCAAAATTTTGAATGGGGCTCTGTGATTTCTAGTTATGCCCTTTGCAGAGCCCACCTGAGATCCCAACACAGCCCACCTGAGAGTGACCTTGCAGAGGCCACCATAGACTCTCTGCATAGGTCTGGGTCACTATGGTGATTATTCCGCCACTGGTACTGATTATCTTGTATCTGATCTATAGTGGACAATTACAGGATTGTGTGTTTAATCTAGTACTTAGGATCAACATAAATACAGAAGCTAGTAACAAGAAAGACATCAGCATTTCCAGATGGAATACAAAAGGCTACTGTATTAAGGACATATAGTACTGGAACATTCTGGTCCCATTGGTACTTTTCTAGAACCAAAGGGCTTGCTAACAGCTACTGCTGTTATTCCTTAAAAGCTATGTTTACCTTACAGACCATGTTTCATGTTACACCCATATTCATTTTACAGAATACAGATCTTCCTGTATATATCATAGATAAGTATACATAAACATAGAGACTAACATTGCACTACACGGCCATCTACAGCTCAAAAGACAATATTACATCTCTGAATGTCAGTAATACAATCAATAGGCTGTTGCATTTCCAACAATTTTGAGCTAGGATACCTACCAGCTGTCAGGTACAGTAACAAAGCCTGAAGGCCAGGCAACTGAATTCCACAACAATGTCTGACAGCGAAAAGTGTGTGAGGAGCTGAACATACACAGCTTAGCTCATTTTTGCTGTGTCTGTTATTGTGTCACAGTGTGTTTCTAATAAAATTGTGCAACCTTCATGGCACAACCTCTTAGCTCATCTGAGTGGTTTTGCCACAAATTGGGGCATATAACTGACAAAATCAAGAACAAAGGCGCAGAGAAGCGTTTGAAAATGCTGAAACATTAATAAACGTGACAACTGATGATTTATTTACAAATTCTACAGAACTAAGCAACACTCTTCAAAGCACATCAAAATTGTGTTACCAAACTATAAAATAAGCACTAAACACACAAAGTTGCTTGTACATCTCAGAAACAAGCATTGCTGCAAGGCACTGGGGTAAAGGCAGCAGCTTTCCAGCAAAGTATAGAAATAGTTTAGGTCAACATCTCTCATTTCACTTTAAATGGAGTTATGAGTTCTGACATTAGCTCTATCATTCATATATTGACAAAATTTGTATGTGATATTAAATACTACTAGCAAAGGATTGTCACTTCTACCTTGTTCACGTTGTTGATCTTTCTGCTCCATGGACACCAGTGCAGAAAAATGAGCTTGATCATAGGCCAGGACCAGTGGTGAGCAGTGACATCTATTAGGAGGGACTTCAAGAGGTAAGTAAATTCCACCAAATGGGATAGGTGCAAAGGCTGGAAAGCATAAATCGTGTTATAAATAATGTTATGAAACCATTTTGGTAGGTCACATGCTACTTAAACAATACCTATATACATGCTGCAAGAGACGATTGAAGCTAGTGTAAGAAATTATCTTTGTTGGACATAACAAGCAATCAGATCACAGGTTTGAGAATGAGAGCTAACATCTGATTGATTGATTGATAGGGTCAACATGTTTTTTTTTTTTACCAGGCATCTAGCAACCTGTAAGTATAAACCTAAAAGACTTTGACAAGAACAAGGCAAATGAAAGTTTCAATATTTAGGACAGCTCAGTGGGAGACAGGGAATTCCAATCAAAGGATATAAATAGGCCACGTCACTATATAACCCCAAGCACCGTCAGCTCAAATACATCACACGCAGTCATTTCTCAAGGACAAATGTCTATCTCTTTCTGCTCTTACATGACAAAGTGCCAAGTACATTCTACAAAGAGAGATAAAAATAATATTTATTTTCATTAAATCTTTTGGTGGTCAAGGATGAAGATCAACGATGCAAGGTAGGTCACCACTGTAATAAATGTAAGTGCCATTTCAAGGTAACCTTCATGCCTTTATTTTCCTAGCTCTATAGGTTGAACTCGATGGACTTGTGTCTTTTTTCAACCTAACTATGTAACTATATAACCTTCAGTAGTAGGTTTCCTAAGCTATTGACAGTCCTTGTAGTGTAAACTCTTGGGTAGTGAGTTGAGGCATTTTATTTTCAACTAAATGCCAATGTGTTTTTTTACAGCTGTCCAAACTACTACCTGCTTCTTTCTCCAATGGTCTCCACTCACCTTGTTGCTTTATCTTTAACTGCACAAAATTGCTAATGAAATAACTTGGTGTACTTACACTGGATACTAGTATACACTGAGTGGCCAGATTATTATGACCACCCCATCAGTACTTCGTTGGGCCACGAGATGACTTTGTTGGGCCGCCTCGTGACTCCACGAGATGTTGAAAGGTGATGCGAGGAATCTGGCACTGCACTGTTGCCCTTCTGTTGTCTTGTACCAGTCTTGCCACCCTCCGTTCTGCCCCAACATTGACTAGTCGCTGACGGCCACAATTCGCACGTTCAGACCCAGATTTTCAGCTGGCAGTCCAGTCTTTAAACACTTTAACAATGAGCCCCTCTTGAACATTTAACGAATTCTGCTGTTTTGCTGATACTCGCTCCATGGCTTGAGCGCCAACAATCATCCCACGTTCAAAGGCTGTTAAATCGCGTTGTTTACCCATATCTTCAGAAAAAAATCACTTCTACTGTCGTGGTAAACAACCTGCTTCCCTATTTATAATGGTCTGGCCCTCTAGCCACTTCAGCGCAAAATTATAGCTAATTATCGCTAATTTGCCCACAAACGTCAGGTGGTCATAATAAACTGGCAATACACTCAGTGTATTATTCAAGTTAATGATCAAGTGACAGCTGCTGCATGTAAACGCCTGCACACCGTATGTAATGGTATGTGATATGATTACATTAGGCTAGGAATCAATCACTCTCCCTGGACGCATCGATTGTGCATCTAGGGAGAGTGTTTTGTAATCACATATAAATCATATCACATGCCATTACATGTGGTGTGCAGGCGTTTAAAATATAATACAGAGCCCCCCCCCTCTCCTGCTTACCTTTTTGCATGGAGGAGGCTGTGAGGAGGCTCCATCCCTGGCGATTGATTGGTAAGGTCTGCTGCAGACCTCACTAATCAATCCGAGTGCCGGCACAGAAGCAGCTATGCGGTCTGCATCCGACAGAAATGCAGACTGTGTAGCTGACATGTCAGCTGGCTGCAGACCACATAGTACCGGCTCGTGGGCTGGTACTTTGAGACCACTGAAGTAGAGCATTGGAATAAATGTGTCTATGACATAATAATCTTTGCCAAGATGAACAAAAGGTTACAGGGATAAAAAAATTAATAAAATAGAAATGGTTCTTATGTGTACCTTCTCCTCCAGAGTCACGAAGCATTGTATCAGCCACAACAACTATTGGTCTTCTTAGTATATGAGCCAGGACAAAGACATGGAATTCTTCTAAACTTTCATACACTGGATCTTCTGCATTGTCCACTCTAGGGAAATATAATTAACAACTCTAAAACATAAATCAATATTTAGTTGTCTACGTTGTACTGCCTACTTTACATTTTGTCAAAAGATAACCTGTGAAAACGAATGTCATCAGTCTGCTGCCGGCAGGGGGAAGCATTAACTACTGCAACCAAACTGCAACATTGTAATTTTTCACAAAGTAAGAGAGTACAGCAGGGGGCGAACCTATGTCACACATGAACACAGACAAGAACTGTGCAGGTACCAGGATTGACATCACATCTCTGAACCAGCATCTCTGTCTAGTAAGTAAATGCTGACCCAGGACGATAGCACTGTCCTTCTGGAGAGAAAAGCAGAAGTCATTGTAAGTGGAAGTACTATGATCTCTGAAATGCAATAAAGTCCTGTAAGTTTTATACATTACTAACCATGCATGTACGTAATGTTATAGAACATATTTGATGATAGATCCACTTTAATCATTTTTAGTAGGTTCAGTACAAAGGTTTTCTGTGGGTTTCTTTTGTGGATGGGAAGCAAATGCTGTTAAACTGAATTCCATAGTGAGCAATTTCTAGTTTGTTGTCCAGAACACTTTCAAGTACACGTTCATCTACCATGATAAAAGATATAAGAACCACCCCTTGTATAAATAAACACTGATCACTGACTTCAGCCACATGCTCTCATTTAGTAGTAAATTACAGTGCCTTGCAAAAGTATTCACCTCTCTTGGTGTATTCCCTGTGCTATTGCAATACCACTTGGAAATAAAATGGATTTTGGGGGGTTTGTACCATGTGATGTACACAGTATGCCTACTACTTTGAAGGTGCAAAATATTTTTGATTGCGACATAAACAATAATTAGTGCAAAAAAAACAAAACTGTGTGCATTAGTATTCACCCCCCAAAAGTCAATACTTTCAGGAGCAATCATTTGCTGCAATTACAGCTGCATGTCTCTATTAGCTTAGCACATCTAGCCACTGGGTTTTTTGCCCAAGCAAAACTGCTCCAACTCTTTTGAGTCAGATGCGTTGCGTTGGTATACTGCAAGTTATGTCACAGATTCTCAACTGGATTGAGGTCTGGACTTTAACTAGGTCATCCGAAGGCAACACAATGCTTCCCTTTAAACTTCTGCAGTGTAGTTTTAGCTTGACGTTTAATATTATTAACCAGCTGGAAGGTGAATCTTTTGTCCTTAGACCACAAACTGAAAGGTAGCTTGCAGTGCCAGGCTGCTGTAAACAAAGCCAACAGGGTTTTGTCCTGTATGAAGAAGGGGATGTATTGCAGGGACAAGTCTATAATTTTGCCACTTTATAGATTATTGGTTCGACCTCATCTGGAGTACGCGGTCCAGTTCTGGTCACCAGTACTAAGAAAAGATGTCCTTGAGTTGGAAAAAGTCCAGCGGAGGGCAACCAAACTAATTAGGGGTATGGAGGACCAGAGCTACGAGACAAGGCTACTAAATTTAAACATGTTCACATTGGAGGTGAGGAGATTAAGGGGGGATATGATCTCCATGTACAAAATGTTCAATGGTGGTAGCAACATTAGCGATAAACTGTTTAAAATTAACTCCATTACAAAAACTAGAGGCCACCACCTAAAATTGGTGGAAAAAAAATTCCAGCACAAGGGGCGAAGGGGGTTCTTCACAGTAAGATCAGTTAGGGTCTGGAACTCACTGCCACAGGCGGTGATTTCAGCAAATAATGTGGAATTGTTCAAGAAACTTTTGGACGATTTCTTAAGGGACCGCAATATACAGGGGTACAGGTACTCCTAGAATGAGATCCTAATAGGTTGGACTTGATGGACTAATGTCTTTATTCAACCTCAAATACTATGTAACTATGTCCCAGTCTTAAATCTGTAGAAAAATGCAACAGGTTCTTTTCAAGATTGCCTTGTATTTAGTGCCATACATGTTTCCTTAAATCCTGACCAGTCTTCCAGTCCCTGCCATTGAAAAGCATTACCAAAGTAAAATGTTGCCACCACCATGCTTCACAGTGGGGATGGTGTTCTCATAGTGATGGGAAGGTTTGAGGTTGCACCACACATACCATTTCCCATGATGGCTATAAAGCTCAATTTTAGTCTCATCAGAGTAGAGAACCTTCCTCTAGTTTTTGTGGAGTCTGTGACAAGCTGTTTGGCGAACTCCAAATGCATAGTCTTATTGTTTCTTAGCAATGGCTTTTTTTTCTCACCACTCTTCCATAAAGCCCCACTCTGTGGAGTGTACAACTTAAAGTGCCTCCTATGGCAGATACTTCCATTTCTGCTGTAGTTATCTGCAGCTCATTCAGTGCTATCTTTGAGTTTTCGTTGTTGCATTTCTGATTAATGCCATTCTAGCCTGGCCTGTGAGTTTTGGTGGGCGGCCTTCTCGTCAGGTTTGTAGTGGCGCCATATTCTTTCCATTTTGTTATATTGGATTTAATGGCGCTCGGTGGGGTGTTCACATTTTTTTTTTTTATACCCCAACCCTGATCTGTACTTCTCCACAACTTTGTCTCTGATCTGCTGTTTGGAGAGCTCATTGGCCTTCATGATCCCGGCTTTGTGGTGTTGCAGACTCAGGGGCCTTTGAGAACAGGTGTATTTATACTGACATCATGTGACACTTTGATTGCAAACAGGTGGACCTTTACCAACTAATTATGGGACTTCTGAAGTTAATTGGTTGGCCCACATCTTATATAGGGGTTTAATAGCAAAGAGAGTGAATACTTATGCACTCTTAACATTTCTGTTTCTTGCACTAATTATTGTTTAGTTCACAATGAAAGTTATTTTGCATATACAAAGTGGTAGGCATGTTGTGTACATTACCTGATACAAACCCCCCCAAAATGTATTTTTACCCCAGGGTGTAATGCAATAAAACAGGAAAAACAACACGATGCACTGTACTTTTTCTCATAATGGAAAGTGGCATCTTCAAATTACTACTTCAGGACCACCCACTGTCAAAAAAATCTCCTGATCCTGAAGCCATGTTCTTGGTATCATTTTAAACAGCCGGCGATGGATGTTTAGATATAAGTGATCTGGCGGCTATATCGCCGCAGGATCGCTTGTACAGTGCAGCGGAATATGTGCCTCCCCTCCTCCGCCAGCACAGCAGGTCTTCCCTTACCGATCGGAGGGACATCAGCAAGATCTCTCCTCTGATCACTGGACCCAGAAGTGATGAGTATTACATCACTTCCGCTGTCACTGTGCACATTCTCCGGCTCCTGCAGCCAGGAAAATAAGCTGGTGAAGCAGATTGCTGCTTTATCAGCTTCTTTAGGGTCTCTAAGTGATATTAGGGGTGTGACAGACCCCTGATGTCTCCATAAAGAGGACCTCTCACATCATATTTGCTATAACATAGGGGGCTTGTTAACCCCCTATGTGATAGCAATAAAGTTTAAGTGTAAAAAAAAAAAGTAACAATTTTTTTTTAATAAATGCAAATTCTTTTAAAAGTCCCTCGCCCCCACGGCACACACATATAAGCACAAACACGCATCGGGTGTTAAACATTAAACTGATGAGCACTAAAAGCTTTTAAAGCCTCGCCTATGGGAATTTTTGGGTATTATAGTGTTTTGCGGACACAATTTAAAGGCTTAACTTTTATATTTTACAAAAAGATTGGGTATCATACTCTGTTTCTGCACGCTAAATTTAATTTTAGTGTATTTTATCCTAAATATGCTTGTTTGATAAACATTTGCGCAAATACCATGCGACATAAAAAACATTGCAACTAGCAATTTCTTTATTCTACAGGGCCTCTGCTACCAGAAAATCTATAATTGTTTGGGGTTAAGCTGTTTTCTAGCCAAAAAATCTGATGTCATCAAATATTAAGAAATTGCTCTGTACAGCAGATATGGAAAGAACACACAATATGCCAAGTAGGAATACTATACTATCCTTTAGGACACTCCTGGTAGACTCTGTGTGATGTATACAAATGTGACACTAATAGTTGCCGCACTACAAACAATTTGCAATTGCTCTTTGCACTATGAAATAAAGGTCGTGGTCTGAACAGCATGTGCTACTGCAGCTGCAGAGGAAGTCGCTCTACAACCCTAAACAGAGAGTAAAGTCAACAGGCTTTATAAAGAAAAGCATCATTATAGAATCTGCCCACAAGTAACAAAAGAGATTCTTAGAAATGTGGCTCCATAAGCAATCGCAGCACACTGGCCTTATTCATCATATACATCCATTAGTAAACTATTTATTTTCCCCACAAGGGTATGCCTGTTATATAATACAGCAGAACAATATTCTCCAGAGCCTGGTACACTCTTTATTACAGTTAATCGGAGGCATTTAAAAATACATTTTCCCTGAGATTTAATGAATGCATATATAATAGCTGCTGCTCAGCTAATTCTTTCAAGCAAGTGCAAATTGATTCAGAAAAAAAAAACATACAATCAGGAGGCAGATATTGAAAAGCAGAGCCGAGGCCAAGCAGGGTGTTTGATGGTAATCATGCTCCGCTGATTGCGTCTAAGGAATTCATTCAGCTGCTTCTGTCACTGGCTTCTTCCTGGTCCTAAACAATTCTACAAACATTGTTTGTGCCGGATATGCTACTGCATCTCTAACATCCACGCACTGAAAGCGGATCAAGACCACCAATCAGCATGATTAATTCTATGACTCAATGCTTAGTACTGCCAACTCATTCTTCTCAAGACAGGTATTAAAATGAGCCCATTAAGTGCTAAGCTATGGTCACGTTTTACTGATATTTAGGCAGGGTAGCTAAGGCCAAATGTGATTTTTTTTTACCAGAGACATCTATTTCTTCTTCAGAAAAGACGATTGATATACTGTATTATTCCAACACTAGATAATTCCTTGAATCATATTTGTAAAAATATAATTTTTTTCCGTATCAATAAAAATCAGCACATTGAAAAAGCTGATGTACAACTTTTGCCTAAATTTAGGATAAAGTGGTAAAAAATTTGTTCCTTTGCCA